CCCCTGTCCAGCCGCCTGCGGTACCTGATCCATCGCACCGTGGAGAACATGGAATTGCTGAGCAGCTTCTCGGTGGGCGAGGGCTGGAGGAGGAGGACGGTCATCTGCCACTCGGCCGTCAGGTCAGGGGGGACCTGGAATGGTTTGGGAGGGACCCCGAGCTCCTCCCGCCCCACCCCTGCCATGGCAGGGTCACCTCCCGCTGTCCCAGGGTGCCCCAACCCAGCCTTGGGATCCTGGGGCTCCTCAGGGAATTCCATCCCAGCCCCTCCCCACCCTCCCAGTCAGGAATTCCTCCCCAAAATCCCATTTCAATCCCCCCTTTCCCAGTGTGACCCCATTCCCTGTGTCCTGTCCCTCCATCCCGTGTCCCCAGTCCCTCTCCAGCTCTCCTGAAGCCCCTTTAGACCCCAAAAGGAGCTCTGAGCTCTCCCCAAATCCTTCCCTTCTCCAGGAGAAAATTCCCAGTTCTCCCAGCCCGGTTCCAGAGTGGCTCCAGCCCTCAGATCAAACCCAAATTCACCCTATCCCATTTGAGATCCCCATTCCCAACAGCACCACCCAGACCCCAAAACCCCCAAGCGGGATTTTCCCTCTYTCCTGACTTTTCCATGGATTTTTTCCCTTCCCCTGGGTCAATCCCTGAGGTTCCCATCTCTCACCTCCCACCATCCCCTCGTTCCCAGGCTGCCYGGCGACACCAGGAGTGACCCCAAAGCCGGGCCTAACGCGCCGCGGGGCCAGCGGCCGGCGCAGCCCTGGGGACGGGGTGGCCGCGGGCTCCGGCCCCGCCAGCTYGGGGACAGCCACGGGGACAACGCCCGCGGCTCCGTGGGCTCGGGCAGGATCACGAGGCCGCCGCGCAGGAAACCGGACAAAGCCCTGTTCGTGGCCAGAGGGAGCCGGAAAAAGGCGAATTGGAGGGAGCGGGAGCCGGAGGGGGACGGCCCTGAAAATCCCGTCTGGAACAGCCAGCGAGAGCGGGGAATGGATGGGGACAGCCCTGAAAATCCCATAGGGAACAGCGAACGGGGAATGGATGGAGGCGGCCCCAAAAATCTCATTGGGAAGAGCTGGAGGGAACGGGGAACGGACGGGGACAGCACCGAAAATCCCATTGGGAGGAGCTGGAGGGAACGAGGAACGGATGGAGGCAACCCCGAAAATCCCATTGGGAGCAGGCAACAGGAACGGATGGGAACAGATGGGAGCGGCCCCGAAAATCCCATCGAGAACAGGCAGCGGGAACGGGAAATGGATCGGGATGGCCCCGAAAATCCCATCAGAAACAGGCAGCGGGAATGGGGCACAGATGGGGATGGCCCCGAAAATCCCATCGGGAACAGGCAGCGGGAACGGGAAATGGATCGGGACAGCCCTGAAAATCCCATTGGAAACAGCGAATGGGGAATGGATCGGAATGGCCCTGAAAATCCCATCAGGAACAGGCAGCGGGAACAGGGAATGGATGGGGACAGCCCCAGAGGTGTCCCTGGAAAAGGAGGGAGCGATTTGGGAGAAGGCGGCGCCGAGCATCGTCCGTGCCGCGAGAACGCGGCGTCCTTTGGGAACGGCGGCGATTCCCGGGAACGGGAACAGCGGGAACATCAGGATCATCGGGATCGGGACTGGCCCCGTTCCCGCCCGGCTGATGGAGACGAGCGAGATCCCAGCCATGTTCCGGAAAGCTCCGTCCCGTCGGAAAAGCACGGAATGGGCCGGACGGAGCGGGGCGGGGCAGAGCTGGAAACCCAAAATGCCACCGCTGCTCCGAGCCTGGAGAGCTCCGGGAACGCCGAGGAAACGCGGAGATTTTCCATGCGGGAAATTCATGAGTGGGAGAATCCCGAGACCAGTGAGGAGAGATCGGAATGGAGCCAGGAGAGATTTGGGACCGGCCAGGAGAGATTTGGGATTGGCCAGGAAGAGCCAAAACCTCCCCAAAACCTCGAGGAAGGCGCGGAC